CACGGCGCGCGACCATGCTCGCGGCTGGCTCACAGCCAACATGTCTGCCGCTTGGAGATATTTCAAACTATCAGAGAGAGAGGCGCGGATTGCGATTTGTAAAACGTGTTCAGTTGACATTTCTCGAGGGGGTGTAACTGCAAAGACTTTCACCACTTCGGGATTACTCCACCACTTGAAATCAAATCACCCGGACAAATATGCGGAGTATGATCAACGTAACCCTGTTCTCTGACATTCGGTGATATTTTTTCGGTGCTAAAACCCTTTCGGCCGAAAGCCGAAATGGCCTTTTTAACCATTTTCGGCCGATAATTTTCGGTGGCCGAATATTCGGTGCATCCCTAGATTCAACCCATAGTTAATTCATATTGTGAAGAATGAAATGGGCCCATGTTCGATGACAACAACAGAATATTAGCACCTTTTGTGTTCACCCAAATTGAACCATGTGAGTGTCACTTTGCGTCCTGGGAATTTTTGTCTGCAGTCAAACTTTGACAACCTCTTTTCTGTCATTTTCTTTCGCAACACAAAGTAAGAGTGTATTTAATCCCTAAATCTGAAGCAACACTTCATCCAAGTCTCCAAGTGTTTCATCACTGACACAGCCTCACTCAGACACACAGTACGAGTCTGACAGGCGGGCCCTGGGCTCATATTTCACTACGATAGAGTGTGTCACATAAATCTTCTGATACAGTATCAACATTGCCAGAAAAGTGGATGATCATAAATGAATGCAGAGCTTCATTAAATTGGTTTCCTGAGTTTGAAATGATCACACAGAGTCATGAAACTGCACACTTTAACTCATGTCAGGGCTGAGAGGCTGAACTGGGATAATGAGGGTCCGTACCAGGGGTTAGTCTGGTCCGGCTCGGGACACCGTGGGTGGTAACTGAACGGTGAACCCACAGAAACCTGCTGACCCTCGGGGGCCGGCGTAAATCTTAATGAGGTGAATTCAGCAGGCAGGTGAATACACAGTGTCTGCATGCAGCGTGTAGGATTAGGGTTATTGCATTGCAGTGAGTGAAATCCGGATGATTGAAAAAAGCAATTACAGGCCTACTTATACGACATTTCACAAGGATGTGGGGGGTATTTGTCATGCATTACTCATGTTATAATATTCCAACAAGAATAAAATGAAAAGTCAAGGTGTCAGCTATAAATAAATATGTATAATGTGCGGAAAATGTATTATAAATATAGGTGTTTTCTTATCTATAGGGCTGGTTGGTGGCGGTCATAACGTTTAAATGCTATAATATAAAGAACATGTAGCAAGCAATAGATTATTCAAACTAAAAGCAGAACAAATGTAACATTATATAGAATATCTGACAATTTTTAAAGCCTATTTTTAAAAGCAATTCATCAACAGGAATGACTTCCTGCAGCAGTCAGACTACGGCTCATGGTGGGTCATCGCACAAAACTGACTATAGCAACTCTGTGTGCAATATATAATGTATAGTATTGATGTAATACTACTTTATTAATGCTTTTAGTACTTGATACCATTGTTGAGATGACTGTGCTATGAGCAATATACACTTTTACACACTGTTAAAGTTGTCACTGGCTGCTATCTGAGCTACCATTGCTTTTTATATGTTCACTTAATTTTTAAATACTGCTTTATAATGATATTATTTTTTGTTCCATGTCTTTTGGAACACATTTCGTTCCATGTGTTTTCTTTTTCTTTAAGGTGTGTTTTCCTCTTTATTTAATGTTACCCCTGTACTCTACTAAATATGTTTGCATTTTGTCTGTACTGGCTTCTGGCTGAAACACTGTAGCCTAAATTTTCCCGCTGTGGGACGAATCAAGGATTGCAGATACTTATTATTGACCAATATAAATAATTGTTGCTAATCTCTCAAAATACCATAGTAAAATATTCATAAACAGTAACATTTAACCTCACTATTTAACAAGTAACCCTTACAAAAACAGTGAATGGCTTTAGATAAAACAGGAATGCAAACATATTGATGTTTCATAGTTGTTTGTGTGACTTTTAAAGTAGCAGAAATAGAGTAAAGCACCATATAAATTTGTTAAATTAAGTATGCAATAATTAAAATGTGGCTTACATGCTTTTAAACTCAGTGTCGATTCTCTTATATAACATTATGCTAATGCTTCTCTTCAGGTTATGTTTTAAATGCACTAGATTACTTTTACTTGTGTGTGTGGTTTAGGGTTGGGTGTGTGTACACTGTAATAATTTGGATTAAAAAACTTCCCATACCAGACCTGTCAATCAAAGTGAAATAACATACCTTCACGGTGTTAATGTGCTTCCTTTCTCAGCTGGTCCTGCATCAACTCAGTCCCTCAGTGCAGGTCTGGCCCCGGGCTGAGGAGGACGATGATGTTGAAGGTGATGAAGGTGAGGATGTCGCCACCCTGCCGCCGCCGCTGTCCACTGAACCCTGGTGCTGATTGGAGCAGCGCTTTGGCCCCTGTCCTGTTTTATTTCCCTAATTGGGAGTAAATGGCCTCCTTGTTGACTCTCCACATCCTGTGCAGGAGCACATGTTGCAGACACGCTCCCCTGGCTGCTGGCTGATTGCAGAGCTGCACCGGGACTCCTCTCAGCAGATCCCACTCACACACTCTGAGCTGATTACAGATCCAGAGGCGCTGGAGCTGGGTCACATAACAATGCAGCAGAACAAATGTTAGCTGGCTGGTTTTGTTAAACACGCAGGAAGTACTCACATCCCTTATTTTTCACATCATAAAAAGGATATTTGTATGTCTTTATAAGGATCCCCATTAGTACTATGAGGATTGGCTATTCTACCTCGGATCCACACATAAACACAACAAACCTGAACAAACAAAACAATTTATATCATGAAATTAACAATCATTGGAATTGCAAAAAAAGAGATAATCCCTTTAACCATCCTGCGTTCACACATATTACATTTCAAGAATATAGGGTAATGAAAAGAAAAAAAGAAGAATACAAAAGTAACATTAACTGAAATAATAACACCAATTTACAGTTATGTTTAGATTTGCATGCCTAGTGGTGGAATATTACTAAGTTCATTAAGGCCTAATCAAAGTAGGCACTTGGGTATGCGGGGGCCACTTCTTCTTGAGTGTTTCTTTTATGCTACTTAATACTTAAATGTCCTCCCCTTTTAGAGGGAAACTATCACATTTGTAGTAAGATTTACAGATTTTACACACAGAACATGTGATTAGTTGTTTATGTTCATTAGATTCTTTTACTTTGAACTATAGGCCTATATAAAGTATATTCAAATATGAAGTACACAGGAATGAAAAAAAACGGGAAATGTGTGTCTATTGTGCATAATGCATGTTTACTTTTCATCTTTAAATGTACATTTTTGCTGATTTTACTAAGTATGCTTTGGATGCAGAACTATGACTTGTAATGGGTGTTTTTTTATATATTGTATGCTACTTTTACCTAAGTCTGCTATGTCACTTGGGTAATATTGGTAAGGTAATGTATAGACTAGTTTTGTTAATTATTTTTTATTTATTTATGACACTGTTGTAAATGTCCCTCCTCCATTATCCTTATCTTGCCGGCTACCTTAACCTACCCTGAATTATCTTTAATATATAGAAGAAATTCAGTATGTCTAAATCTATGCGGTAATGAAGCAGATTCCGATTCTGACATTTTCAACGAAAAAAGGTTAAAGGTAAAGGTTCTTAATTTAATTCCACTTAGTGCCTTGTTAAATTAGATTTTATAATTGCAAAATAATTGACGAATTTGTATTTCAATAAATCCCCAAAATTAAGGTAAAAACCCGTAAAATAATTGATATTTTACCTGCGCTTAAAAACAACCTTTATCTTCCATCTATTCCCGCGCATCCAATTAGGCTGACGGATCACGTGCTCCTCTGGCCTGACAGAAATACAACTCTCCACATTATGCCAGAGATCAATGCATCTATGGGATCGAGCTGAAATAATCCAGAAAAAGTTTTTTTGTTGAAAAAACTGCTTTGTTTTATGATATGATCTGCAAATGAACTCCAGCTGTCAGATAAATGTGGTGTAGCCTAGCAAAAAATATATAAATACTACACCGCCAGTAATTGCGTTTAATTGTGAGTAAACGTAGCTCTACTTATACGAGCTATCTGTGTCCCCTCTTTATATTTTACGACACGTTTTGTTCTGCTGTTGTTTCCATTGTTGCAGGCGGCTCGCGCTGCCCTGCTGAAACTGTAAACGGTCTGTGGCGTCCCGACATAAAACAGCCAATCTGCTCCTGATTAAAATAACACGGAGGGTTTACACAGCAAGGCCGTGTGAAATTAATTCAGCCGAACTCTCTCTCATTATTACAAAACCCCAAAGCCCGCGAAAAAAAAAACGTTTAACACCGCAAACATTTAACCAAAATACACAATCAGTTCATTAGTGGGTTCATTTATTTGAGGGTTTGGTTCGTTTATTCGTTAGGTTAAGGTGTGGTTCATTTTAAATATGAAGTAATTAACAAATATTGTCCAAACCACACATTTCTCTTAATTATTGATATATATTTTAGTTTGTTTTCCTCTCATAATACACATAAATTCGCATATGTATCGAATTTGTTCCAATTATATATTTAAGTAGCCGTGTCACTAAACCAAATTAGGTTAAACTTCCTCTATTTTTACTTAGAAAGAGTCTAATTTTCATATCATTGCGCAAAAATAATCTATATTGACAACATCGATGGGTTTTTATGGGATGTATCCTAAATTCGGCTACAACAGTGAAGGTTTAAATCAAACGTAGAAATTAGAAAGTTAATAATAGAGCAGCTAAATGTAGATTGTGTTGATTGCCATAACAAATAAAAGAGTGGCATGGGACTACTTTCCGATAGTGGGCCGCCTCCTTACAGTATTTATTGTCACTGTGTTTCTGTGTCTTCATGGCTGTACCGACAGTGGGTTCAGAGTTCAGTTGATATAAAGGTGAAGGCTCCAGATGGTTGAGGTTTTCAGGAAAACTTGATTTGGTTTTTTTTTTTCTATGGCTCTAGAACTTCTCGGGTTTCAGAGTCTCTCTCGACCTGTCGGGGGACGCCAGCGCCACATAAATCACACTTTACTTTATAAACCCTCCGCTCTCTGAAGTCCGGCCCAACACACACACACGCACAGAAACACACTTCTCCCCAATGGAAATGTATTTCTATAACCCATTTCTGCAGTTTGGAGCCCGGCTGGATGCCCTAATCTCAGCAGCCTGTATTTTCTCATTTTTCTCTTGTCATAATCCAGAGCACACTTTCTTTTCAAGGGGCCCCCCTCAAAGGAGTTCTGACAATTATCATTATTCCCATTTTAAAACGAAGCAGTGGGTATAGGATCATGTGAAAATGTAAAGAAGCTTCAATTGTGTTGCTTTTCTACATCTACTAATTAAACACATACATCAAAATGTTCAACAGCAGAGCAGTTAACAATCTGAAAAGGGCCATTGTGCATAAGACGTTTTTATTCTTTGTTTCGCTTTATGATTTCTATTCTCTCTTTTTTTTAAATTATTATTATTGATGCATCAAGAGGCATTTTAAAATGTGTATTACTGATGGAATCCAACTTTATGAAGTAATGAAAAGACTATAACTTGCTTTTCATGAAAAAAATTAAGAGAAACAATGTTTAAAACAAGTAGCTTAAATTGAGGACTTCAATCTCTTGGTAAGGATGTATTGCTGCTAGCATCAGGACATTAAAGCATCATCATTATTGAGAAGAGTTTAAATCTGCAAGTAAATCTAGTGGAGAAGATGTGTAGGAAACACTTAAGTAACTCAAAATTGACCAAGTAAATCTATTTCATTACATTCCAACAATGTGTTTTGGTATGACATAATTCAGTCCTATTTATCTGATTATAATTTGGCCGAACCTGATCCTAAATCTGCTGCGGGGGACTTCAAACGTTGACCTTGGGGCTGGGACAGACAGGACGGTGGTCACTCTCCCTCTCCGAGCTTCTACCTCCCGACTAATTAAAAAGGCTGCTTTTACTGCCTCTCCCTTCAGACGGCCAGATGTGACCGGAGCGCTGTAAAATCTCAAAGCGCTTTACAGAAACACTTACTGCACTTTCAAAAACCACTTGCAAAAGCGATGAGAGTCCCAAAGTGCTCCCTGTGTTAAATTCATTCCAGGAGCTTCAGTCCTGATAAGTCATTATCTAAAATGAGCACAAAATACAAGAAAAACACACTTTTTTAAAGAATTTATTTTAGTAAAATATCACCTTTTTTAAATATTTACCCCATTTAAATCACTTTAGATGCTTACAATCAGGCGCTCAGGCCCACATATTTGAAGTTTAACATCAGATTATTATCATATATATTATTTTCGACACATTGTGCAGCCAGAGAAAGTAAACTGCATAATCCCATGCAGCTGAAAGCATCTGTACATACATTAGCAGATATCATCTTACCCTTCAGGAGGCCCGCTGCTCCTCCACTGCACTGACAAGACCAGAATTAGCTTTGTGAAACACGAGCCCGCGCCGGCCTAACATGTTCATCTACAACACATGAGACAGAAGGGTTTATGTTTGGAATAAAAATGGATTCATACCTCCTTCCCATCGGCGTGAAACTGAGACTCTCCAGGAAGTAAACGGGACCCATCTTTCACTGTCGCCCACAACGACCAAGAACTTGGGAGTACAACCTGTGCTCACAGAGATGATTCACATGTGATGTAAAACCACATGTTTAGAAGAAGAGATTTCTTTCCTTTGGAAGACATAAAAAGCAAACCGATTGAGGATAATGGTTGAAAGATACTCCAAATTACTCAGCAGCTGAATATGATTCTGTCTGGCCCTGCAGGTACACACACTGAGAGCCCTTTGAAAATGTTCTATCATTTACCCGACAAAAGATGTCCACATTCGCCAAGTGTTGCCTACATACAAGCCATGAAAGAAATAGGCGTAAACAACTTCTGATTATTAGTTTGGTAAATAAAATGTCAGAAAATGATGAAGAATATCTATCCCAGTTCCTCAAAGGTCTTTAAATGTCTTGTTCCGTCAATCCAAAACCCAAAACTATTCACATAAATATGATATAAATAAAAGAAAAGCAGGACATCTCAATAATTGGTACGCAATAGTTGTTTCTGCCATTTTTACAATCATTAAAATAATTGGCAAATATTTTTCTGTCAAACTAATCCATTAGACGCCGACTAAAAACATAACTATATGATCAAAACATCACATGATTATTAACCTGAGCAGCTGTTTGACGTAGTAAAACGCTGCTAATCTGCAACAACAAAAGCCTTTTGATGGACGTGCAAGACTGCCCACATTACAGTATCTGTTATTGCTGATTCACTGTTTTAGCCCATATGGGATAAATATGGCAAAATGTGAAGCTGCTATAAAAATGTCATCTTAGTGAATAACTGAAAAAGGATGTGCTTAATTTTTCAAAATGTAAAAAACAAAATAATAATATAAAATAAAGACAATGGATGCAGGACAGAAACCCTGTTCCATTCACCCGAGCCCCTCCCTATGAGGAGCCAAAACGTATTTCGCACAAATATTTAGTAGCGTAAAAGTGTCATTTTTGGGAGAAATGTTGGTCTGGATGATACATCATTGCTTTCCACATACAGTGGATAAAGTGGTAGTATTAGTGTTTTAAATGAATGCCCACAGTGCAGTTTGTGCAATAGTCCCACTATCTTCTGTCTTTTTGGCATCAAGAGGCCACAATTTCACTCTGAAAACCGTTTTCCAGTTTTTTACAGTCTTGTTCGGTCTTTGGTGGTTCAGTCATCGGGTGGTGCTCCTGCTGGACGTCACCTCCCTTCTCCTCCTCCTCCTCCTCTGTGGGTTTACAGTCCTCACTCGATTGCACTGTTCCCTCCTGTTTCTCCAGCGAGCCGTTTTCTTGTTTCTGCGTCTCCACACGGCCTCCTCTCTCCTCTTCTCTCTGCTTCTCCAGCTCTTCCTCAGTGGTCTGCAGGTGCAGCTGCTGCATCAGCTCCTCCAGCTTGTGGGCCTTGCGCAGCTCGTTCTGCTGGATGATGGCGCAGAGGTGCTCCGTCAGCTGCTCCTTCACCTCCGTCTTCTTGTGCAGGTCCAGCTTGCTCTGCACGTACTCCACCTCCGCCTTCTCATAGCGCTTTCTGAGGGACAATGGAAAGGACATGTTAAATAGAACAAGGCTGCACAACTTTTTATTTAAATGATGCATTGTCCATCATATTTATCTTTTACATATAATGAATCAAAATGTAAAATGTAAGACTTTTATCAATCCCTGAGAGGAGCTTCAGTTGTTCAGTACTCATGTCACATATTCCTCTTAATGCTTTCTTTATGTGAAAACTTAACCACGTGAGTGTAAAAGATGGACAGAAATAAAGCGAGGATTCCTATATTTTTGAGAGAAAATATTCAGCAAACATATTAAGGACATGGCTAAGTAGTGTTGGGATTTTTTTGTTGAGAATTTGGTGCTGTGCTGATATGATCATTTAACCGATTAGTTTGAACATGAAACAAAATGTTTAGTATACTTTGGTTCCAGCTTCTTGTCCGATTTCTTTCTTCTGTTTTAGATCCCTTTTCACATTGAATATATATTTACATTTTGGACAGTTTATTGTAGAAACAGCTCATCAGCTTCAAACAATATTCTTTGAAGTATAAGATTGAATGTTTGTATTGATGTGTTAAGCAACCTAGTTGGACTGATCAGATCCAAAATTTTCCAATTCTAACATTTGAGAGCCTTTTGTTTTATGAAATGTCAAAATATGTTATGTAGAGAAGATCTTTATAGTTTTGAGTCTCTGGTATTGTATTGGCACAAACCCCATAATTCCTCCAACGATCTCTGAATGCAGAAACAATTTAATTGCGAGAAACAGGACGTCACATGGACACGCTGCAGTAACTAAACAGATGATGTCAAACATTTCTCCTCGGAGGGGGGGTTTATGTTGTGCCTCAGCGAAATCTACACAATTGATTGTATCAACATAATCATAACACAGTCCAGTGAGATGACCGTGTGAAGGTCAGGTCCTCTTCCCATTATACAAACACCCGTAATGAAGAGCGTTTCATGACTTTGAGCTAATTTGGCTACACAAGAGACTGAATGAGGAAATCACAGCTACAAGGTCAAACAAAGCGGCTCTGGGTAATTGCTGGAAGAAAAAACAAACAATATTTGAATCACACTTTACACATTCTGTGACTGCAGCGAAAGTTTTTAGGCCACACTGATCAAGAGTAAAATAAATAACTAATTATGTTGGTTACATTTAGCTTTTTATTCAGGGTTTTAGTTCTAATCCTGTTTCATTAGTCTCTGTGTGTTGGCTCTCGAGATCATCGGATCAGTCTGCTGTTTTTCAGTGTTTGAGAACATGTGGATAACAATCGTTGGAAGAATACAGGAATACTGGAATCCATCTGCAGGGGGCAGCATTAACAGTGGAAGTCCAATTTATTATATGCTAATTTTTCAAATTCAAATCTCTGTAAAATATGGTGTTTTGAAGAAAACAAATCCTGAGAACTTGGTGGCAGTTGAATGACATCTCATCTGTCCACATGTTGAAGTGTGTTTTAGCAAACCCTAAAAGTTTCATCATGTTGAAGTAAACTTAATAAGTAGAGTTGTCGCTTCCTCAATAAAAGTTTGCAAATTAAATTCAACAGTGGCAGGGTGTCAGCTCTCTTTACGACTACTTAAGCCTACAGTCTGTGATGCTGGTCTGTCCTTGAGGAGCGTTCAGAATAGTGAGAGAAACACAGTGAAAGCTTTGATTATGTATCCAAAACACTGGTCCTAGGTGTCACTATGAGACATGTGATGCCCTTGTGGGTTCATCTGGAGAGGGTGTGGCTGTGCTGTGTCCAGCCTTGATTGCAGTAACTCAGGGCACCTGGTTCTGGTGCCCTGCAGCTCCTTAAAGTCTCTCTGCTCCTCTCTGTCTTCTCTCTGCTTTTGTCCTACAGGCACCCGGTTCTGTTGAGTATGCTATGAGTTACTTGAGTTGCTTTACTTTGTGCACCTCAACACCCTCACACATACATGTCCATGCAACCCTCACCCTGCATTTACACTACGGATACCACTGACGTCCACACCTCATGCTTTACTTACTTTGCACTTTAATTAATTAGGTTAATTTGAATTGTTTGCTTAAATCAGTGGTTCTCAAACTTTTTCTGTCAGGCCCCCCCTTTGGAGAAAAAAGAAAGTCGGGCCCCCCAAACACAAATAGTCACGTAATGGGCCAAGTTAACCTTTATTCAAATACATCAATATGAACGTGAGCATTCCTTTCAAAAAAACAAACCATCACTTTACTAGAACAGTGATAATAAAACAATGCTCCATAAGTCTG